AAAAAAAAAGAAAGAAAGAAAGTGTATCAGGGAGGACAAAGTGACCAAGTGTGCCAGTGCTGCTGCTGCATCAAGGAGAATCAGAAGTGAGACTTGAACTCTGTATTTAACACCGTGGGCATCACCAGTGACCTTGGCAAAGAGTAGTTCTGATGTATTAATGGGAGGAGATGTTACACCGGTGTGACATGAGAGGATTGTGGGAAACCGCCCTGGAAGACATTCTGGCTCTGACCACCGGCAAAGTGAGTGTTGTTCAAGGCAGAGAGGGAAGCAACATAATCCACACTGGAAAACATCAGCATGGGCTAGACCCAAACTCCCTCCTTCCAAAAACAGCAGTAGGGGAACGTGAACTTGAAAGGCAGAGCTGACAATTGCATTGCTCAGGTCATTTCAAGAAAAGAACTCCAGAGAACTCAGATGGATTCTTGTGTTTCCAGTTTATTCAACAGAAAAGAGACGAACTCCCTGTGGCTTTGGGGCCTGCTCATAACCATGAATGGTCAATGAATGTCTGGGTAAGACCAGCTCCTGTCAGGGGATCTACAAGAAAAGATAAGGGCTTTCCCCAGCTTCTGCCTTCAACAGAGCTTAGGCTCCTTGACACACAGCAGAGTTTTCTGGGTTTTCTTTCTTTAGAGAGAGAGACAGAGCACTTGTTGGAAGGGTCATCGAACTGACAGAGGACTCGTTCCCATTAATGGGAACACAGGGGTTGTCCAAAGCAAGAGGAATGTGCCCTGGGGCTAGATGACAGGGCCAGAGGATGGCCTCCTGCTTTGGGCTTCTGTCTGAAGACCAACGTGACCAACCGGGTGGTCTGTGTCCACCTCAGAAGTGGTGGGCTCTCTTCTAAGAGTCTTGGTCTGCCTGTCAGGAGTGACTGTAATATTTCTGGATGGGGTAGTCATCATTCCAGGGGCTACAGCTCTCTTTCCAAGGGGCACGATCTTCTCTCCAGGGGACTTAGTCTGACCATGCATAGAAACCATACTCATCTCTCCGTGAGTCATAGTGTCTCCAAGGGTCTCAGTCTTCATTTCCACAGCCACAGTGTGCTTTCCAAAGGACATAGTTTCACTCGTAGGGGTCACAATCCCACTTTGGTGGCCTCTAGTCATATCTGCAGACTTCCTATGGGTGTTAGAAGCCATAGACTTTCCTTCTGAGGACAAAAGCCCCATATCATTGGTTCCAGTCGGACTTTCAGGGTCAGTTCTTAAAGAATTCATAGCAGTTGAGAGCCAAAATTTTGGTGAAGGAGTTGAGCTGAACTCTAGAGGAAACCATCGGAACAGGATGAGAGTCCTACCGCTTCCTCCCCAGCCTGTTAATTGCTGGCAGGACTACGACCACTCCAGGGCTGAAGGACTTGCTCCCAAAATCCAGAAGTGAAGGATTTCATAATGCACTGACTTGAGGGCATAGATAAAATCCCACCACATTGAAGCCCTGCTCCCCCACCTCATCATGTTGATATGATCCCAGGCACCTATGGGCACTCAGCACATTTACATTTCTGGGGAACGACCCCAAGAAGCCTGCCCGTTTTCTATGCTTAAGGCCTCACTTTGACCTTACTGATGGCACCTTCGGCAAGACCTTGCTGCCCCCCAAGGCCTAATAACAGAAACCTCCTGTGTCCCCCATGGTAGAAGGCACCAGGAACAACATGGAGGGCAAGGAGGCCACTCCTGACAGCATTTTGTAAAGAATTGGGTTGAAGTCCCATCTCTGCCCTTGACTAGCAGTATTGCCTTTCTGAGCCCCAGTGTCCTTGTCCCTAAAATGATAGTTATAAATCATCTCAAAGGATGCTGTAGCTGTAGCATGCCAGATTCCATCTCCTAACTACCAGGGAAGTCTCTACTATCAAAGAGGTTATCAAAAGAAATCTGACTTCCTCTTCTGGCCCTTGTCCCATGAAAGCAGGAGGAAGCCACAGAGAAATAAACTGACATATATTGAGCGCTAACATTGAGCCAGCAGTTTTCATTTCTTATCTCATATAGTTCTTATAACAATGTCATGAGTATAAGGATCATTCCCGTTTTGCAGATAAGGAAAACAAAGCTCAGAGGGTCAAATGGAGCCTGCCTCTAAGCCAAGGAAATGGACCGGCCTAACATCAAAGTTTGTTCTCTTCCTTCGGTGCCATGCTGTCTCACCGAAGCCTGCAGATCTAAAAGATCTGCTCCCAACCCCACTTCCAAGCCATAGGTACTTACCAGCTTGCACCAGGAAACTATGCAACTTGGAGACAAGGGGGAAAGGGCCAGTGCCACAGAAAGTGCCCTTAACGTCATCCAGGTCCAATGTCCACACCATGGCTCCCCCAAAATTCTCTCCTTTTATGAACCTTGCCTGAAAAAGGAGTAGTCAGTCAACCTGCTGTGCTGGCCATCCCTCAGACGGGTACAATGGCAAAACACTGAAGACAGACCCTCAGGAAACACTACAGTAGCATGGTTGGTAGTTACAGCCTGTATTTGAATCTAGCCTTTACCACTTATTAGCTAAGGGATCTTGAAAAGGTCACACAAACCTTTGCCTCATTTGTAAAAAAAAAGGGATAACATTTCCGGTATTTTTTAGGAACCAAAGAATCCCTTCATGTAAATGCTACAGCATGGATGGAGCTTGGAGACATTACGCTGAGCG